TCTGACTATTTCTGACTAGTCCGGACTCGTACGGGATCGCAACTTATAATTTTAAAATCAAAACTCAAACGCACACACACATTCTCATTTTCAATCTCAAACAACAACAATTGTGAACAATTAATTTTTTTTATTTTCAATTTTATATGATTTTAAAATGTTGGCAAATGTCAGAAAAAAATTATAGCCGACGAAATGAGAGAATGAATTTACCTTGTAATGTTTTTATCATGGTTTATTTTATTTTAGAAAATTCGGCAGAACATCGGATATGATCTTTGCGAATTCTTTAAAACTCCTCTACAATTACTTTGAAAAAATGGTTTGCAGCGTTCTTAAAAATTAATCCATAAATTAAAGTATCCGTGTGTTAGCCGAACGAAAATTTTCATATATACATACATATGTTTACATATATAAACATACATTGAGTATTCGATATATGTATGTACATATGTGTACACAATAAAAATATGAATTGGAAAATCTACCACATATTATTCAAATCTGCTACATTTGTTTGGCGATGCTACACCATTAAAATAAAAGAGATGTGCACACTACACTAGTTGTTTCCCTTTAACCTGCGCGAATAAAAAATGTATAGCCTTTCTTTGAGTTGTGAAGTTCTTCCAGCAAGCGAGCAATAGTATGTATGTACATATGTCCATATGTGGTGTAAATTTTTTCCCCTTTGGCATCTTAAAGTAATCCCCTAGTGAACTCCTTCGAACTTTATAAGAACAGTCTATGAATTTCTGCATGCAACAAGTCTTATTTATGATAAGGGGAATCGCTTAAATACATAGTTTTTTTAATAAATACGGGAAATTGTTCAGCTCAATTAAAGCAGATTTAGAAGTGGTGATAAATGTATGTATTCTTAATAAACAACATTCGTCACCATCAAGGCAAAACGCGCTATCTGGCCATTTGAAATTTTACAGAAGCAAACAAAATATCAAATTTTCGCAGGATATTGCTACAGGGCTATTTTAAAAATGCTTTTAAATCCTTTTTTTTAAATTATGAAATCTAGGTATGCGATTATAGGAAAGACATTTTGCCCTGTTTATGACGATTCTTTATAAGTAATAGGATTGCAGTTTGAACTTACGGATTCTGAAACCGATTCCTCATCGGATTCGGAAAGATCTGGTGGTTGACGGGATATCTCCGTGTCTGTATCCGAGTTTTCGCTGGGTCGTTTCTGTCTAGTGCCAGACGAGGCCAACGATAGATTGGACGAGGTTGACGATGAGGCGGATCGAGAATTGGCGGCTATAGCGGTGGGTATACCAACAGCAGCTGCAGCATCCGCAGCGGAAGCTTTCAGCTTTTGCTTAATTGCAGCAACTGCTCCAACGCGCGACGTTGCCCCGGTATTATTATTGCTGTTATTACCACTGCTGCCGCCACCGCCATTAGTTTTTGCGGGAACTGTGGCATTCTGTGAGGAGCTCACTAATAGTGACAGCGGATTTGTTTTTATTTGGTAAATTTTTGCTTTTGCAGAAGCAGTTGCGGCCACGGCGACGGTAGAAGCATTGGTTGAAGATTTCTTGTTTGTTGATCCCAATGTTTTGCCGTTGCCACCGCCACTGGCTGGGTTTAAAGACGTTGTATTGGCAGGTGCGTTCGAAACTATTGCAGGAATAGGAGTAGATGTGACGGCGTTATTGTTGGATCCTTGATCGCCATCTGTACCAACTCCCGTACTCGTAACGGTTGATGCTGGAGTTGTCGTTGTACCACTAGCGCAATCTACCGCTGTGGCACTTACGTTATTGTTGGTACTGGAGGCGGCTACTTTGGACGCGGCGATTTTGGACATTTTACTGTTGGTGTTATTGGTGTTGTTGCTGCTATTGCCATTAGATGCAGCGGCTGCTGCGGGAACTGTGGAACCAGAAATATTAGTATGGTTGTTTTCAATTAATTTCTTTATAGTAATTTTACTGTTATTATTGTTGTTAGCCGTTTTTTTGAAACTGGCTTCAATAGTTTTGCTTTCTCTGCCACTGTCAGTGCTGATGGTGTTGGACGTCAAATCTTTATTGGTACCACCACCTTGCTTCGTTGCATTCCTCGGCAACTTTTTTACAGTGTATTTGTTGTTGATGGAGATGTTTGTAGATGCCCCAGATGTGCTAGCAGCCGCTGCTACTGCTGCCAACTTTAAACTACTGTTATTGCTTTTGATGCTAGCGTTGTTATTGTTGGCTGCTTTCTTTATTGATTGCAGATTCGCCGACTGCTTCAGTTTGGTTGCAGTAGACTTTTGTGCTTTAATTGTTGATGCCACTGTAACTGCTGTTGAGGGTTTTGTTTTAATAATATTGGATACTGACGTTGGCGTCGATGTAGTTGTGGTTGTAACAGCAGAACAAACACTTAAGTCGTTACTTTTTTCATCATTATTCATTGTAATCCGTATTAATTTAGTTTTTTACTTCACTGCACTATGCGTATGAATGTGAATATTTATTGAAGTTTCACTTTGTCTTATTAAGATTTTAATCACTATTACTCAATATCTTAATTCGTTTCAGACCAGATTGTTCCACCTAGTAAAATTTTTTGAAGATTTTTCTATATCACACAAAAGGAATAAGCAATTACTTAAAGGCAAGCTATATATATACAAACATATACTTATAATTTAAACAATGAAATACGTGAAATACGTACTTTTGCGTTTGATTCAACTATGTGTGGAGCAGTAAATGAAAAGGCAGAGCAGAGCAACTTTAGGTCGGCTTATTCCACTCGGTTTGTTTGTACCTCCTGGTGCTGGAAGACACATCGATGAAATATCGATACATCGATGTTTTTGAAATTATTTCAAACATCAATGTTTTTTTCGATGTTCGATGTTTTTCTCTATAACCATCACATAGGTAAGTGAAAATCGCGAAATAGCGAATAAAGCTTATTAAATGCAAACTATTAATTCTTTATGTTAATTCTTTATGTTAAGTCGCAGGCTTCTTTGTCGGACTGCGTTTATTTTAAATGAAAAACTTTCATCTTATGTATGTATATATGTGTATATACACTGCCGTAACAAAGTATTGGCACATCAAATTTTTCACAATGTATGCAACAATTTTCATTCTAATATTTGTTGCTAATTTCGTATAAAAATACGGTTCAAACTTTGTGCAAAACTCGCGAAAACTTAGCAAATTTTCATGAAAATTTTCAACTTTTTAATCAGATTTTTTAGAATTGTTTGAGTATGCAGATTTGTAGCCAAATCAATTTTATTATAATAAAGTGCAAAATTTAAGTAGCTAGGAGTTACCGTTGATGTTTGGCAATTTTTTTCACGCAGTCTCTTCCATACAAATTTTTTTTTCCAAAATAATTTATATGGAAAAATACAAACACCTTCAACAAAAAAATCTCAAAAATCAACGCGATTTTTGACTAACTTCGAATTTGCATTTTTTTTACTAGAATTCAATGGGCAGCAAAACCGCACACTCAAAAAATTCTAAAAAATCTGATTAAAAAGTTTAAAATTTTGATGAAAATTTGTTGAATTTTTTCGAGTTTTGCACAAAGCTTAGGAATTATATTTTTATTTTTTTTTTTTGGTGTTGAATGAACCATATTTTTATACAAAATTAGCGGAAAAATATTAGAATAAAGATTTATCACTCTCTTTCAAAACAAAGTCCGAATTGAACTCATTTATTTTGCATGGTTATGAAATTAAAGAGACTGATGGTTTGCATAACTGCTTTATTAAATTCGGCCAACATTAAAAAAATTCGCCATTTAAAAAGGTCGATACATCGATGTTGCTCCCCCAAAAACATCGATGTGCGCAAACATCGGTGTTTTTCCAGCACTAGTACCTACCTCCTATTCTCTAAACGTGTTTCAAGTGCTACCAGCTGAAAAGTCAATCCACAAGAAACACAGGTACGCACACCATGGGAAAATACAACACTGCGTGGAAAAGAAATACAAGTAAAACAAACCTACATACATAGAAGATCATACGTGGCCTACGACTGTTTCCATATATAATTTGTTCACATCTTGGTCAACATTCTGGCATTATTTTTTACAATCAACTTTGTGTAAATAATTTATAGTGCGTATCTGTCTATCATTTCGACCAAAGTCATTTGTTCTCAACCGTGAACAAGTGGCAACTCTCCTATTCTTTCCCAATTCGGCAATTTCTCGCATTCCTCTTGGATCGACTATTCTTGCGTTTTACATTTTTCAAATTTTCCGTTTTTCACTATCCTCTAAATGGCGAATATTCGTTTTCGTTAAAAGAAATTCCTCGATGAAAAAATGGCTTGCGTCGCCCCTACCATATTAGAGGGGCGTATAAAAAAAATATGCGATCCTTTGTAATCTACAATGTACACATTTACGCTTTTGATCAAAGCTACACTTGTTTTTGAATTGTTAATTTCGTCGCCCCCAAGTTATGACTATGCTTTTGTGAAATTTATTTTCCCCTTCCCGAGTTCTTACATTTGAGCAAGTTAGTCAAAAGGTACATATCGAATTAAAATTGCGTACCAAAATTTATTAATAATTAGAGACACAACCTATTATGCACAACATTTGCATTTATAATTAGAAGATATACATTCATAGCGTGATTTAGTACAAGTATGTAAACCTTAATTTCCTTCATTGGATAGAAGCAAACCACAAGTAACTTGAAATGTTTAACCCTTTACGTGCGCACCATGTACGTCAATTTTCATATTTCGATAAATTATTATCTAACAAACTTGAAAGCATTTTAGATCTTTAATACTTCCATTTACATTTTACACACTACCGAATAATGATCAACCAGCCGAACGGACGAGCCATAGGCACCTACCGCACGAACAAATCACACTTTTCGAGACTTCTCGGAAGCAAAACACAAAGCACAAGGCGAATGAAAATGGTCACAAAGTGGAAAACGAACAGCCAGCGGAGCCGTACTCACATCGACTCACTCATGGCTCCACACACAAACACACGCACACGTATTTCACATAAGCCAAGTGTGTAAGCAATGAAAAAATTTTCCCGTGAAAGGCAAACTTTTCAAACGCATTTTTTCAACTCAATATTTTGTTTACCGCACAAAAATTATGATCAAATAACACTCTTGCACTTCAATTATAGTTTTTCAATAGTTTTATAATTTACCGTTGCGATTTTCTAGCAATTTTTTTCAATTTTCTGCTGCAGCAATATCGTTTTCGGTATCGTTCCGTCACGAACGAACGACAGGCACGAGGAGCCACTCGCTCGTTTAACAAAAAAGAAGAACTAGCGAGTGAAAATACTGCCACCCTTTTCATTTCTACGTACAGTGGGGAACCGAAGAACGTAAATCTATAATAGCTGTTAAGCAGGGATCACACGATTTTTACATTGGCACATTTGGCAGCCACAGAGTGATGTTGCCTAGAAACTTTTGCCGAGAATGAGTTTAGCTCAATAACAACTTTCCAAATAACACCTCTCTGTAACTGTAAAAATGTACAAATTTGTACAAATCGTGTGATCCCCGCTTTATAGTACTGTGGCGAACACAGCGGCAACGCGAAGCGAACAACAAGAAAATGGCAGAATGTTCGACGAAAGACGTAGAATATTCGACAGCAAGAAACGACAAGTGGAAGAATACTGCGAACAGCGAGAGAATGATAGAATGTGCGATACAGGTCAGAACTAGGAATGTTCGATATCGTACCGATTATTCTGAATATCGATATTTCATGGCACGATAATCGATTTTTTGAATCAATATTCCAAGGTCGATTTATCGAAGACATCGATACTTTACCCGCAATATCGATATTTAAGTTGAAATTTATTTTTAATCTACCAAAAATTGTATGGGAAAATACTAAAGTAGGTTTAATCAACTGCTTGCATGATTTATTTAGATCTCAAGTTTGACAAACCGCTTGAGTCGGCCGGCATGCCGTTTTAATCCTCAGTAAATATACAATTGCAATTTGCAATTAAGGCTGCTACAGAAAACTGCGGCAGTATCTCAGCGGGATTGATTAGTTAACTTGCTAATGGAGGCTGCTTGGAGCAGAAGCAAAATCATTCTGAGGAAATGCTGTTAATATAATAATAGAGAGAAATTTCGGGAACGACTTTGCCGTGCCCTATGTATACAAAATGCAGCGATTGGTCCCAGCGGTACACTTACATCTACGATTCATGCATCATGACGGCTGTCGCAATTTAACACACAGCACTCCATTGTATTAGTTTTTACACAGTCTTCAACTCAAAAATCACTCTCAAATTGCAAATTAACACAATTTAAACTGATTTTTCACTTATAATTAAAATTTCTCTTTCGCTGATTTGTAAACAAAGGTTTATTTACAAGTTACCACAACTGTCAAAATCGGCAAAACCAAAGTAGCGGTATCACTGACGGCGCCACCGCTGTTCGCTGCACCGTGTTGGAATTGTGGTCTTTTTCGGGGATCGCAGGTTTGCTTTTAGCATTTAGTTTCTTAACCGGCCGTCTTCACATGCTTGCAAATCTCGCTTGCGTTCTGCTTTTTTCTCTCGCAAGCGAGATAGAGTTTTGTTGACTGGGCATTTGACAGCATACTTTTTCATTTGTAAAATGTCGCCAAACAAGAAGGTTCAGGCCTTGCAGGCTCTTAAAAGTTTGAGAAAATTAGAAAATCTGCATAAAGAGTTGTATACTATTTTCAAATGAAAAATGGCCGTTGTTTTTTTTTTTTAAATAAAGATTTAAATATATTCGGAAATTTAGAATTTGGCTTGATAAATTCACAAAATTTACGCTTTTCATAAAAATATAATCTCACAATGGACTTTTTTTTATTTTAAACTTACATTTAAGAAAACTCCATTCAATGCTATAATTACGATTTGAGTTTTCCAGTTTATAAAACACAAGCGTTAATTACGTACTTAACTATTGATATTATTCTCCATTAAGCATGAATATCAGCATCGGCGTAGCCAGAATGAAGTTTAGGGGGGCTCGACCCTATTAAGCTGGCATTTCCGGGTCCAATTTGCAATATATATAAGGAAAATTTGAAAGTTAGGAGGGGACGCTCGAGCACCCCCCAGCCCCTATCTGGCTACGCCCATGAATATCAGCATATATTAAAGATGAATATTATACTTCACCTACATTTTGTTCGTAAATAACACATACTTATGAATATTTTATCCTCGAAATGAACTTTTTCTAATCATGACTCGAAATTCCCCACAGTAAGTGTTGCCGTGCGAGCAAAACGAAAGCGCTGCACACAACACAAAAGTACTCCTCGGGGACCAAATGGTGAAAAACTGCGAAAAGGTTTATTACTGTGAGGTAGCATAAATTATTTTCTAGAGAGTAAAAACACTCATATTTCAAAATGGTTCTTTTTTTTCTAAAGCAATCGCATTTCTGGCTAGTATATTTAAGGACGAATGGATAAGGATTGAGCTAAGAGCTTGTGTGAGCAAACCCAATTTTTGGCAGCCAATGTCAGTCACGCGGTTTTGCAGAATGACGATACGCGGTTTTGTACTTTAAACGACGATATGTATGTATAAATACTATATCGTCGATGGTTTTGCAAAACCGTCTATCTTACGGCACTCAAATTTGACTGGAGAGCAAATAAACGGTTTATTCTTTGAAGGCATTGCCTTGATACGCGGTATTTTCTCTAGCTATTATGTTACAAATCTGCGACTGCAATATGAATGAATTTCAATTCCATAGTTTTTAGTTAATTCAGCTGGTAATTAGCTTTTTAAACTGATATAAAATAAAGACATTTATATTTCTTTGCTTAAAAAAACAAATTTATTTTTATTTCTAGTATTCGCATTAAAGCAAGACTACAAAACTATTTGTTAGCATATTTTAATTAATGGTAATAATATCCGGGGATGCACAAAATGTTCCGGGATTGGATGCTTTACTATATACCCTTGTGGTCAGCTGATTAAATTCAGTGACATTTTGACCAGTTTTGGTTTTCTCTTTTGTTTATTTAATGTTTATTGTTTTTTTTTTTAAGTGTAGCATATTACAGAACCAGAACCACACAAACCCACATTTCTAACTTCGTACAAAAATTATAAAAATTCACCAAACCTTAACAATTACACCCAAAAATTTTAAATTTTTGTTCAGAATTTTTAGAAAATTTCTAGGTATGTCGTTTTATAGCCCATGAAATTTAAGTAGCGAAAAGGGAAAATTCCAAGCCGCTAGGAAATCGCGTTGATTTTTAATAATTTTTTGGCTGACGGTGCTAGCCATTTTCTTTTATATAAAAGGCACTTATCCTAAAAGGAAACGTAAGTGAATTGAACCTCTACTTGGTTTCGTTTATTTTTAATAACTAATCTTTAATATGGACTACACTAAAAACTCCTTTTCATATAAAAATTCGTACGTGTACCACCCGTGACAAACGTTGTCCTACCCGTGACAGTGGAATTTCGTATTTTTTTTTTTTAATAAAGCTACAATTTTTGTTGAAGTTTTTCTTTGTTTTATTATAAGACATTAAGTTCACACAGAAATGTGAAATAAATTTGCAGACTTTCGTAAAATATATCTGCTCCACAAAGTAGGTTCTTTGTTTTGTCCCACCCGTGATAAAAGAAATAACTCAGATTTTTTCCATATAAAAGTAAGCTGGAATTTTTTTCGTATGTAGTAATAACTCATATTATAGTCAATTAGGTGCATCTTTATCCAAATATAGAATTGCTGTGTACTTTATACTTAAATTTAAAACAGAAAAATATTTTTTATGTACAAATGTCCCACCCGTGGCGGTGGAGTCGCCCATATCTAAATTATAAAAATAATTTAAAAGCACATAATAGAAAACTTGAAATTTCAATTCAACTTCCTTTTCGTAATTTTTCACAAATTTCCAACAGCATTCCATTTGGTTCTGCAGTCTCTAGCCAATTCTCGCAGATTGAATGCATCCGCTATCAGTTCGGCAACAGAGAGGTGGACATAAGCTTACATTTCTGGAGAATCTTACTTGCATACAATTGTTTGCTGGCTGCCTCGGAAAACAATTACGCTCACAAGCGGTTTCCAATCTTATAAAAAATCTTGTCACTGGTGTACAGTCGACTGATTGCGCTGGTGAGAAAACATTTTGGTTAATTGCATGCACATGATATAAGATTAGTTAATAATTTTACCTTTTGCAACAGTGAATATGAGCGAAGTAAAAATTAAAACAGCGTAAAAATATTTCAACATTTTGAACTACTCGATTTCTGAATGTTTCGAACTCTCAACTACTCAGTTTGTGTCTGGAGGTGTCTGATAAAATATCTACTTTTGTAAAGATATAAGTACACTTCATATTTATATACTACGATGAAGTGTGACAAAAAATTGGGTCACATAAATACTACATTTTTTTATTCGATTTTGAATTTTTAATTTTCATAATAGTACACAGGTGGCTATGCTTCGTTCCTTTATACATCGAATAAACAGTGAATATGGGGCATTACTAGGGATGTAAATTTTGGAGGGTAACATCGATACATCGATGTTTCGATGCATCGGGGAAATGAACATCGATGCTAAAATACATCGCCAGTAAAATATCGATATATGGATGGTCTCCGATGTTTCACATTTTATTAGGTTGCAGTCACATTAAAAGAAAAAATTTAAAACTTTTCAATTACAACTCTCGTAATTTAATTAGAAAAATACTTACATATTTATGGATGTATTTCCCTGTATTTATTTACCATTATTCTACTCTTCCTATACATAGAATAAAAATGCATACCGTAGTAAGTTCGCTGAGACTAAATTTCCAAGGCCCAACTTCAGCTCTTTTTATAAGCTCTTATTTAACTCGGTCATCCCGGGGAAATCGCTGAAACTTCCAATCGATTTTAAACTAACTTCCCGACAAGTTGGTGACTTGAAATTTTCAGCATAGTTCCAATCACGATGACAATGCAATTTAAAATATAAATGAATTCTCTATATGGTCCAGGGGTCTTGATTCAAAGGCGGTAAAAAATAGTAAGATTTATAGCAAACAGAGCGTAATTTGCCAAAGAACGTAAAACCACTATAAAATTGTTAAAGCTGCCGGCGGTAGTGTAGCAAAGCAATTTGTTGCAAATTTTAGATATCAACCTATTCTAGATATGAACCTCGTTGTAGGCATCATATCAAGGAAATAGGATTAGAAGACTCCAGATGTCGCCCCGCCAGAAGAAGTTAAATATTGCGCCTAAATATATGCACCATTTAGATAAAAGCGTAGGTACGCTACAGCGGAAATGGACGACACGCTATTTCTTTAAATGAAATTAACTGCTGCTATATGTACATGTGTATGTTTATACAAAACGTAAGCAAATAACATTTTGCTTGCATAGTCTTCTGTTCTCTTTCATTGCAAGTTGAATTATTTTAATATCTATTGCAAAATTTTGTACATAAAATAAAATAACACTTTTTAATATACTACGCTTTTATAATTGGACTAAATATAAATATAAAATATTTTTTAAAAACAAGCTTTTATTTACAAAAGCTTTTTTTAGCAAGAAAATTGTGTCAAAACTGCACTAAAATGAATAAAATAAAATAATAAATAATACCTAAGCAGTGTTGCCGTTTTAGCCCTTTGGTGGCTAGATTTAGCTACCACATACTTTTTTTGGCCACATAAATTAAAAATTGACCCTAGCCCTTTGGAGAATTTACTTATACTTGGCATGAAAAAGTTGCATATGCTTAATTTGATCTCATTTTCATTTATGTAAGAGATAAATTTTTAAACTAAGAAAGACTGATATACATACATATATGTATTGTATGTTCCTTACCTTTTTATACATATATACTGTAAAAGTGTTAAGGCTGTTAGCTTACGGCCCTTAATTGGTTAAATGGCCCATCAAGCCAATTGACTGTGTATGTTCTTGTGGTGTGATTGTACCAGCTACTGGGGTCGTGAGTGGTGAAATTAGCTCAATTTTCTAAGTAAAACGTATTTTGGCGGAAAATCTTGCACTATATGAGTCAAAGCCGTGGTTGTGGAAGATTAAGTGGAATGATTAAGAAAATGGTAGACAAATTAAGAAATTTCGGCTCTAATCATTTCGATCTTTCCTCGAGCTAATTTTTAAAGAAATAAATATTGAACCAGCATGCTGGTAAGTTATAAGCTGGAGCCAGCAAGCCGGTGTGGTATGTTTCCCCTTTTACACAAAAAAGTTGTTGGTTGGATAAAAAATAATATTTGATTTTTTCCAGAGTTCATTGTTTTTCTATACCATTACTTCTTGAAAATGTTTTCGTGTATACTTATATATGTATATGTAAGTAAAAAATTTTAGCTACCATATTTAGCCATAACGACGTTTTTTAGCTTTTTTTTAAAGGAATTTGGCTACCACTAAAAATGATTCGCGGCAATACTGTACCAAAGTTCGATTCCAGCGGAGCGGAGTGCGGGAACGTAATCGAAATGCAGAATAGGGCTGATTAATAAGTACCTCGGCCAAACTCTAATGCCTGGATTATAATGTAAGCAACGAAACGGCAGTTCACACTTGAACGCAATGTAAAACGTTACGTTACGTGCATTATAACCATTTGCATTCATTTCCCATACAATAGACAATTCCACAATTCAGTGACAGTTCACTCCGTTCCGTTATAACCCAGGCATATAAATTCGCCATCAACTCCACCTTGTATAAATTCGCCTTGGTTGAAACGGTTCAGAGAAGAATGAAGAAGAGCTGATTAACGATTTGCATCTTCTCATAATTATACGTTCTCTGGTTTTAGCAAATTTTGTGTGTAAACTAGTTATAAATGTGCGAGGAATTAAATTGTGAACTGTCAACTCACGAAAAAAATGAAAAGAGAAACGTCAAAGAAATCTGTTGTTTTTAAAGATTGAAAAAAATCGAAAGGGATAATTTTCATCAGCTTTGAAATGGGTAAAAAACTGAATTTTTTTTGTGAGAATTGTTAAACCGCTTTTCTACTTACCTTAGACGACCGACTACAGCAACTTTTTCATTTGCGAACTTTGCAAGACGAAGCTATTGCCTATCGTAATAACATGAGCCTTTACCGGACACTAATGAAGCAAACATGCAAAGCTGAACTGGAAAATCTTGTAGGCATTTTTTTCGCTATATACATTTGAATTTAATCAAATTGGCTTTCAGGTAAATGTAGATATTAAAATCGCGGACACTCAGTTGCGAATTCCTGATCCTAAACTAATACCACCACTTCCCACCAATGACAAGTTCTCATCAAAGGTATTTAGTAATCCTAAAAAATGTATGTATGTAATTTCACCCAATTGGTTATTTCAAAACCTTTACAGGTAGACGAAGTCTTGGAAGAACTGGAAATGACCTCGATAGGAATGAAGCTGTTATAAGTAGTTGTAGTCAATGCTCTAAAGCGTGCTCGCTTTACGACGTGCTTTATTAAGGCATTTGTAAACCATATGTAAACAATCGAAGGTTGGACGTAAAGTCTGAAATGTACAACGTTAATAAAAATTCTTACAATTACTTGCGAGACTTTAAAAAATGCAAATATAAATATACATATCTAAATTTTAATTTGTTTTCAATTATACTCGTAAACCACTTACATTGAAAATTGCAATTATCGGCTTTTTTTGGTAAAGATCTCCTTTTGTACGAATGATCAGTACGTAATGTACATCCAGCTGAAAATTCGATTTATGTTATTACTGTTTATGAAATTAAAGTACGTATCCCTACATCCTCAATGGCTTCATTTATTACTACATCATAAACGTTGTTGGCGGGAATAAACAAATTCGAAGTACGTGACAAGAATCGAACTGTATGGCACTGAAGAGCAAGATCCGAGCAAAAGAGAACTTTTTCTAAAAAATGCAAGGCATTATAATTTGAATATTTTAATAATTTTGCCTTTAAATACTACCACTTTGTATTAATGAGAATAATTTGACGATGCGGTAAAGAAACCAGAAGAAAAAACTAAGGTCGCACAATATGTGTCCTTTAAATAATAGCCAGCTCTTTGATGCCAAAATGCTATACATTATGTATATTGTTATAATCGTACATATATGTTTCATTTTTTGCCATCTCTGAATTCCATAACGCAAATTTGTGACCTCTATTTCAACAGAATCTTTGCTATACTCGCGCAACGTAAGCTGAAGATCCGGTAGCTTATCGCCGGCGTACATTTGGCGGATGCTGTGATATTTGTATATCTGCGTGCTAGTGTCTGAATGCGATGACATTGTATATTGTAATATCACCAGGTGGCTTTAATATAATTTATACCTGGAAAATGTGTCAGAGAATCAGCAATAATTTTCTAGTTAATTCGCCCACTTACCACTACTGCTGTCAAAATTAAGTTGACGTTTATCTTATTCCTTTCCATTCATTTACAAAATTGGAAATCGGGCAGTGTCGGTGTTTTACGTATCCCATAATTTATAAAATTCTTTGTAGTTGCATAACCAAAATATTCAACGTAATTATGCACATATGAACAAATTGGTGCCTAGTTTGGATAGCGGACATTTATTTTGTGGAATTTATGGAGATTTTAAACAAAATTTGTAAGTACCTATAGCAAAGGTAGATGGGCTTTTTCTCGTTTTATTGTATGTGTGGTTCATCGTTTATGCCATGTATACTCGTTTATTGTGCTTCCTTATAACACCAAGATTCGTAAATATTGACATTTGACAGCGAAGATTCGATGAAAAGTAAAAGAAATAAGTCGCTAACCGATTTGTGCCAGTGCATTTTGGTGCCAAACCGATTCGCTTGTGCATTTCGAAGAACGTAAACACAGAATGTGCATACATTTAAGTTCTCTGAAATTGCACCCAAACACCCAGCTATAATTTGCTGGAAAAGCATCTATTCAACGCCAAATTTACTTCACAGGTGACATTTTAATAAGTGCTAAGGTTTACTTTTGGTTGTGAAGTAATTCGATTTTTGGAAAAGGCCTTGCATACCAGCGCGCCATCTTGTGTCCAGAATTTTGTGATGAGTTCATGTATCGTATATTTACGTTCTTTGTTTTGAAGACAGATGCCCAGACAGAATGCCGGGCTTTCAAACGTTCTCTGATTCAAATATAGCCATTCACAACATATGTTGCGCAATGTTAATTTTCAAAGGGAAGTTTCATTTGCTACAGAAATAGCGATTTAATATATGTTTTTTGTTTTTCCTTCCCAAAGTCGCGTATAGCCGTGTTCCGGATTTCTCAATATACTAATGCAACTCTGGGTGGTACGCCGCCATTTTCGAATGACGAATGATTGAACACACACATTCGTCAGATCGGAACAATCGGAATCGAAGGAAGTCAAATTTTAGCGACCGATGAAGACGACGACGGCTCGAGTGTAAAAGCTGCGAAATTTTGTGTGATTTTGTAGATTGTGGGGCTGGAAAAATAAAGAAAAACTCGCAAAAGATTTTACCAATTAAAAACGCGTGTGATTCAATGAGAAATATGCGTAGACGCAAACTAAAGTGATGAACGAAGGAAAGCGAATATAATTGGAGTCAGGCGAGCATTAATTACGAATAGAAAAATATATATATAAACTGAATTGAATCAGAAAGGAATGAAAAAGTGAAATAGTGTGGCCAGCGCGAAAAACGTGAAGCTATAGCTACTTCATATATAGCAAAGAACATAAAGACGTAGCCGTGGAATTTTTTGGATTTGTCCAATTTCATCATTGCGGTTGCTGCGAGTACGAATATAAATTAAAATTCCTTATTTTATGTGTTAAGCGGTATTTTTATATAATTTTGCAGTGAAATTCAATGCCTTGGAGTGTATATATACACAAATATGTATGTATATATTCCTGCAATTGGATGTTGTAGTTAGTGTAATTATGTTAAGATGAAGTCGCGGTATGAGGTGCGAAGTGTTTGATATGCTGAAGCAGTACCGCCCGCTACTTCGGCATTATGATCCGCAAAACGCCACACCACATTGCGCCCGCCTCAAACCATGTATCTTTGTTTTGAGGTGTTTCCTCGTATGGTTTCGTGTGTGTACAACACGGAAGCGCGTCGCAACTGCACCCGCAGTGACGCGTCTACGCTGTCCTCTAACAACCAAAAACTCTCCGTCCTTTTCACAACTTGTTCGACGCACCTTATTCATTAATAAATTCAATAGTTTAAGAGCAATCAAAAATGTTTTACATTTTGTTTTGATCCACTTAAGTTCAACACTTTAGCATTTATTTCGTATAAGGAATGTGCGTACGAATGTTTATGCTCGTGTTTAGATACACATAGCATGTATGTATGTATGTACAATTGTTTCTTGTGATTTCTTTTATTAAAATAAAATTTTTCACCTTTTTCACCACAAAGTCTCTTTTGCGTTGATGTAGTAGACATGGTGAATTTACGTTGCCGCTTGTTTTCTCAAGTGGTGAGTTGATGCATATAGCGTGTGTGTATCCAATATTTTGTTAATTACTCTCACTCGGTATTCCAGTATTGTTTTTTTTTTAATTGGTGTTCACTTTTTTCGGATTCGTTGTTATTGAATGTTTACGTTAAAGATACTGAAAAGTGGGGGAGTATGTGCAATGTTAGTTCCGCAATAGTTTAAAAAATGCGAATTTTTTTTATTAATAAGTCAGAAAATTGCAATTTTCGCAAAGTGGTCGATACCATTTTCTATTATTTCTATTGTTTCAACATTGTCGAACAAATTAAATGGAGGTTTTAATAAATTTTTTGCTAATTTATGTACATACATATTTATATGTATATAGATGTGTATGTTTGTTTATGTCATATATATATCTACTATCAAATCATAAGTCAAGTATGTATCTAGTTACCTACATAAAAATACGCAGTATTTCCCCATACTCTTTCTATAACTTGCTTACGACCAATTCCACTAACATCGAAACTGCATAGTGCAAGTAGCAAACGAGTTAAGTTTTGTTGACACTCGACTCTTCAGCTCGTCCGCGGATTCCTAATGCTTGCCGCACTCCACGTCTCGTAACGTAGATCATTACGCATAAGCTTAGTTCAAACCAAGAAGCACCCATGAAAAAGCTTGTGTTTTTACACTTTGCCTCGCATCCACCCAATCAGACACCCAGTTAGTCAACATGAGCAATGTCGTGTTATAGCTTCCTCTCTGTACAACGAATTCCAACGATTCGGACCATCACGACGTGGCCGAAGATGTCATGCCGTGCAGTTTCTTATTTTGCTGTTTTCTTTTGGAGTTCATCGTGAAATGCGCGTTTTTACAAATTTGTGTATCTATTTTAGTTTGGCCTGTTATTGGATGTTGCAACTGGCAGCACTTGGATATAAACGTTTTGAAAAGTCCCTCCGCCTTTTTTTCAAGACTTTCGATTTATGCGGCCCTAACGTTTTGCCACATTTCGTTGCCGTTGTTGTTGTTATCTTGTTGAGTGTTGCTTGTTGAATTAGTGTTTATTCTGGCATTTTAGGCCGCCTACAAGCGTTTGCCACTGATGCTGCCGTGTTTGCCACGTCATATGCTTGATACTTTTTATATAATCTTATATAGTACACACAAACTACTAAAAACTGTTAAAAAAGATATGCGTATTTTCAGTAAATGACCGATGTATGCATAAGTATGTATGTACATTAGGGAGGCCCAAAAATGCGTGAGAAAAAGTAAAGGAAATTATATGGGTCGTTTCATGTGAAAGGGGGTTACGTAGAACTAAGAAACCGTTTGGTATCTTTTTGAAAAATAATTTTATAGTTATTTTATTAGTTATTTATCTGCCTTCCGCTGTTTAATAAATTCCCAAGAAATAGTTATAATTCACCAGTCACAATGGAATGGCACATATATACCCTTATTTTTTTATTTTGAAATCAAAAAATATTTATCGAGGCTGCCCAAAGCGCTCAAAGTTTTACATTAACATTTCAACCATTATACAGAAAATATAAAATTTCTGCAGTCACCAAAAATTCAAACTTTTTAATCAGAATCTTTGGGAAAAAATTTGTGGTCAGTTTTGTAGTCTATTAAATTGTAGTATTACTTAGATTACTTAGCCAAGGCCCTCAACCTGTTTCTGCCACTCTTATCATACTCGAAGTGTATAAATCGGGAACGGTGGTGCCACTATTTAAGCCGGAGTCTTATCGCCCGACATCACTCCTCTCCGCCGTAGCGGAGACACTATAAGCCTTGTTCTTCCCGCACTTCACATACTGCCTGGCTTCCGCAAAGTACATCGCACCACCTCATCACCTCACTTAACTGCACGAACACTCAGATAACTTGTGTCCTTAACCGCAACCGTCCCTGTGCGAGAACAGACCTAGCAGCTTTCACACCGGAAAATTTAGCAACGGGTCCCATAGGGTTGCGTCCTTCACCCGCTTCTGTTTAACTTTTATTCCAAAGCTTCACCGCCAACGGAATTGATGACCTGAAGGCAAAGAAACGTTGGCACTTGTTTTTTTGCTGAAACTCCACCCAGGTACGTCAGTACGATGTCCAGAACTACGCACTACAACAGCTGGACCCGACACTATAGACAGGCAATAAACGGCATTCACCGGGAAACTCTCACCACCAACTCCCGTCCTGTGAATGTCGCCAGCTGGGTGCACGTAACTGGAACCACCTATATTTATCCTAAACTCTTAAAAAATTGTATGCTGTTACACGCTCGCCACATGAATGCTATCATCGGAATTCAGCCAGCACCCAGTGCAGAGGAAGAGTTTCAGCTGCCTCGAGAGACTTGCGTTACTCTCGTCCCTGACGTACGTCCCACATGTGAAGGTTCTCTGTATGCAACTAAATACCACATACCCCCATGGGTTGAATTCATCGGAGAACGAAAAATGACACTGAGGATGGCACAATGCGAAAACCGGTTTGTCTCCAAACCAAATTTGACAAGGGATGACGGAAATTCGTTCCAAAATATATAAAAAATATCGTTTATTATATCGATAAGTTCCGAAAATTACGATTGCAAACTCAGTAAGAATATCGATAATAATTTCGATAACAAAATCGATAAAAACAATAATAAACCTATAAAATATCGATTATTATATCGATAAGTCCCGAGAATTCCGAAAATCTCTAAAATCCCGAAATATTCCCCAGATTGAGTCTCTGTCTATATCCTTTTCTCTATAATTACCTGTATTTTAATCTTTCTTCCTCTATCTTCATCTTTACTTTTACCGGTATCCTCATCCTCATATATTTCTTTATATTTATCTTTGTTTTTACTTTTATGTTTATCATATTCTTCATCTACATATTCCCTTTCACCTTTGCCTTTTATAAATATTTCGCCATCTGTTATTCAAAAGCCGAAATATCCACACACACACACACACACACTTTTTGTCTCCTCTCACTTCCAGCGCATGTACGTGTTTGCAAAATGATGACGAAGTGATTTTGTATGGAAAATTATTTATGCCCATATATTTGAATCAAATAAACATACCTAGAAGATATCAACCAATACTTCCCATATACCGAATGAAAGGAAAAATCTTAAATTTTGGATTAAAAAAAAAAAAACAAAAACAAAATCATTCCAGCGGTTTTCGAGCATTTTGGAAATAAAAAAATTTTCTAATTTTTCCAAATTTTTTTTGCTTTAAAATACTCAATATTTGTTGAACTTGTATAAAATTTGTACACGATAATATTTCTATTGCTCCAAAGAACCTATATCCCGAAAATGAAAGTTTACTCTACAAATCGTAAGTGGTTTCTACGACATAAACCGAATTGTATCTTTGAAACGCCACACTTTTCTTTCAAATCGCTTCATTAGTTCTCGTGAAGTAAGCATTTTCGTAAAGCTTTAAAAAGTGCAACTACAACATTTGAGCATAGCCTCCATATCGAAACGTAAAACTATGTTTACATATCAATATTATCTCAATCAAAGCTCGTTTTTTAATCACCCCGTTTACACAGGCAAATCTCAGATTATTAGCCGTCGAATTTGTTGTGCTTGTTATTCTCACATCTCAAGGAAAAGTTATGTTTCTTCTCTGTGCCACCGTGATCACATTTTTCTGCTATAATAAGCAATATAAATATATTTTAACTTAACATTTTATTAAACATACCTTTACAAACCTCTTTTACTTGCTAGCGTACATTTTTGTTTACTTTTACATTTGGCATTTCTCCTCTTTTTCGCAAAAACAATCGATAAAACTAGGATGGACACCGAAAAGTTATCGGTTAAATCTGAGCTTATTTTATAATTATAGATTAACAAGGGACGAATTTTATATGGCTAATCTCTTGTTATAATTACAGATTAGGGTGTTAAGCTCGAAAATGAGGATAATCTACTTATATGTGAATTTAGTATAATAGGTATTGTACTTCAAAAACAGCAAGTGCACGCGCTAATTTTTTTATTGACGATGTTCGTTACTCTGGCATCTGGAAATCGTCAGATTATATACTTCCCGTTATCCTTCAGCTGTTTGCTTCATAAAAAAAAATTTAAAGCGCTCGAGATGTTCAGGTCACGTTTTTTTTTTTTCAAGTTTGCGACCCTTCCAATCCCTTGCGTCATGCTCAAATCGTCAGATTATTGAAATGCACACTTTTCAGCGTGTAAATAACCCACCATTTCTTAATCTGACGCGCTCGAGTTAATCGGCGAATCGCCACTTGGACTCCCCTACTATATCTATGTGAATAGGCTTTATGTGTCACATGTCACATTGAATTACGTATGTATGTCCGTTTTGATAAGGTTGTTTTGCTACCATGAGCTTCAAAAGATTCATCCCATAACTTCATAGCTACTAGCGTGTATTAGTAGCGATTATATTTATGTATTAACAATCTTATCCTTATCGCAAAAATGATTTCCATGTGCGTTTGAGTATCTAATCGGTGTGCTTTATTAGACGGAGAACGCAGTTTGACATACATACATACGAATTGACTGGGCTAGCGGCTTTTACTCACATGAATGGCATACCAAACATATTTATACATACATATGTACATACATGCATTAAAGATTGCACGGCTGCAGATAAAAACAAGTATATACATACATACATGTATACCATATATACATATGTATGCATGTATGTATATACGTCGGGAGGGGTGCGCGGACAGCCGGCATTGTTTCCAAACTGGTTTCTCTTTAAGCTTTTACGTATAGAGTTATTGTCTTTCTAATATCTACACATATTTGGTATCTTATGGAACACTTAAGCTTAGTTTGAAATCTTTTCTTTGTCCGCGAAGTGTTTTGAGAGATTGAAAGTTAAAACTTAAACACAAATATATGGGCATTCTGGACTTGCACAATCTATAGTTTGCATTGATTATTCAACTGATAAGTCGAGAAGCCATCATCAATGGCGACCGTCGCAAGGTCTGCCATGATAGGAGTG